TATTACCTCTGTGAGTTCAAACCCCCACGCTTGAAACGTACTGATTTCCCTCAATAGTGCGCCATTTAGAGTGCACGTAGAAAATCTCACCTTTCGCCTTGTTCGTCACCAAAGGTACAGGCTGAACATGAAAAATACGGAATCAAGAAAAGTTTGGTTTAGAGTTGAGAAGGTGGTATCAAGTGTTAATGACATATACAACAAACAATGAGGAACTCAATGAATTCAACCCCATGTTCTCATAGTAAAATTATGATAAAAGTGACTAGTAGCAATGTATGTCTCGAAAAAATTAATATAAAGAGAGAGGGGAAGGAACGAAAATGATCACGAAGAAAAATTTTCATACAACACAGCACCTTCTAAAGAAGAGGAGAGAAGTTAGAGAAATTGTCACAGTCAGAAGGAGGGATTGAGAGTGGATCAAAATAGCTTGAAAAGGGGAAAACGCAACTTGTTATTGACAAATATGGAACAAAGAATAACAGTGAGAAAAGCGCTAAAATCTTGAAAAAGTTTAAAGAAATCCCATTACAGTTCCACATAAAGAAAAATGGAAGAAACAACTGTATCTGTATGAGGTGAAAAAGGAATAGTGGTCGCAAACGCATGTTGAGAGTGGATCAAAATAGCTTGAAAAGGGGAAAACGCAACTTGTTATTGACAAATATGGAACAAAGGATAACAGTGAGAAAAGCGCTAAATCTTGAAAAAGTTTAAAGAAATCCCATTACAGTTCTACATAAAGAAAAATGGAAGAAACAACTGTATCTGTATGAGGTGAAAAAGGAATAGTGGTCGCAAACGCATGTATTCAATGAGATGGAGAAGAAATAGGCCTTGTTTTCAAGGTGAAAAAGGAATAGTGGTCGCAAACGCATGTATTCAATGAGATGGAGAAGAAATAGGCCTTGTTTTCATTTAGTTTTTCTTCGTTTCTTTTATTTTTATTTTTTGCTTCGTTTCGTACACGTTTGTGGCCCTAAAGTGGGCCGTTTGGTTGCTCGTCCGACAACGGTACTCAGAGACCATGAAAATGGAAAAGGTAAGTGCCCAATAGTGCGCATGGAAGAAAAGGATCAGGAGCACTTACTTCAGACGACCTTCCCCGATAAAAAACGGGACATTCACCGGGAGTAGGTGTTTGAGGTAATCGTGCGCAGGAATGCCCGACTCTTGTCCATAACCGATTATAATCGGCTCATCGCTTTTTCCTTTCCACACGGCGCCTCCGCTTGATGTCCTTCTTCCGCAGTTTCTTGTCGTCTGTTGGTCTCTGTATCCATGAGGTTTAATGAACAGAAATTATGCCCAACGTTTGCATTACAACCAACCCGTTCCATGTTGAGGAGCGCTGCCATGGAGCGCCCTTACCAGCTTATCCATACGAGGGTATCGCGTCCCAGTAGAACGCCCAGGAGCCTGAAATGGTGGGATGGTTATTGAAGCGCCTCCTGAGTCAAGGTAAAATGACTCACCTATTGAAGGATTCCGCGACGTTTGATGTTCGCAGCTCCTGGACGCCCCACTTGTACCACATATTCTTGAAGGGACCTGTGTACCATGTGGTACGCAGGTATTCAAAAACATGCAGCACTTGTCGCAGGCGCCATGACACGTGGGACAGGAGGCTGCAGCAGCGCAGGAACCTTCAGATGTAGGCTTGGTGGGAGGAACACAAGTCCCTTGATGGTGCTCCACCATTTTCGAATGGTCCTACATCCTCCAGTCCCTCTCACGTACTGGCGAGTTCGAGTGCATCCCTTCTCCTATTCCACCCTTGCGCTTGGTGGAAAGCGCATCCTTCAACAGATGCACTCGGAAATACCTTTTGTGCTGCTTTGACAGTGGCTCTTTCGAAGTCCAATACGAGCCGTAAGTCTCGTAGTGGACCTGCGTCATGGCCCCCTTCAGCGTCCCGAAGACACGCTCGTATGTCCCTTCATTCCTCCTTAATGACAAATTACTCAGTACTTTACCTGTATGCTAAAGACTGCGAACTCACCGGGTCGTGACAGCGTTGGAATATCCACCCCGTTGCACTCCATGGATGACCTAGGGCTGCCCGGTTTTGATTGTGGCGTCCGGTTGCAAATCATGCACACCATCTACCACAATTGCTTTCAGAATCAGTGAACAACTTTCTGAAATATAGTTTATTAGTAAGGAAGAGTCATAGGGCAAATCGGCAATGCGTAGAAAACTACCTCGATCACCCCCGCAGAGTAGTTAATATGTAGTTCGGGGCTGTGGAATTGAAAGAAGCGCGTGCCATCGGGAAGACAGGCGTATTCTTCCGGTACTTGCGTCATGGAAACGCAGTGGTCATGCAGCTTCCTCAATGCTCTAAACATGTTAATGAGGACGTCTATGGAAGAGCATTTCTTCATCTCGCTAAGGATCTGGAATGTATGTATGTTTTGAATGCGAGATGAGTTCGACAGCAAGATTTTCCCTACCTTCATCGCAGTGAAAGTCCACGTACTCGTTAAGCTCTTGCCACACTTGCCTCGGGGTCTTCTCGGCATAAGCGGGCGTGCTGGATACCTGCCGACATTTCTGAAGAATACCAATTGTACTCTAAATGGTACGAGTCAAAGAAATTGCTATTTACCTCGTATACCACGCGTGTGACTTGATCTTGAGCGGACTTCTGTGGTATACAGACATGCGGAAGTCGACAGGGATCTCTCTCGTAATACTTGCTGCTGAACACCAGAAAGGGCATACTAAGGTCTGTGATCAGTGCGCCCGATAAGCTCAATGATACGTACTTTTACCATCATTGAGGCATTCATTTCTTTGCAACCAGGCATCGGTAAACCTGGGATGTCTAGTTGGTTCTCAGGTGGGCAAAATTGTAGCACAGCGGCTCTCCTGCAAATCAACTGCCATAATACTTCATGGGAGAACCACTTTTACACAAAATCGATCATATCTCGGTTTTTAGGCAAGATAGAGACCTGAAC